ATTACCATGCCGAACACATTAGTCACAAACTTTGTAAAGTTTTAGGTGTGTTGCGTCGATGCGAGAACATACTACCTGTGAAACAAAAAATATTTGTGTACAATGCTCTTTTTTCTTCACATTTACACTATTGTCATCTGGTCTGGTCTACAGGCTCTAAAGCATCTCTAAAGAACCTGGTCGTGTTACAAAAAATGCCTTGCGGTGCATTGAAGGTGTATCCTACAGCGCACAAACTGCTTCAATATTTGCAAAATATAAAATTTTAAGAATTGCCTGTTATTACTAGTACCAGCTTCTGTCAGCTTTTAAATCAGAAATACGCATAGGGAGTATCTTTTTACGCACCTTAGCTACCTTGCAACCAAATCCTGCCAGTCGCGTTACTCGGTGTACAGAGACTTGGTACGAACCTTGTCCTCGCACAAACTATGCATTTGAAACACTACGTTACCGCCTTCCAAGTGTGATGAACAAATGGAAACCAACAACTGACAATATGCGTATATTGTCTAAAACTGAAATGTTAAATCGGATGTGCTGATTGTGTTGTAAATGAATGTTGGTTGATTTCTGTAATGGTTATTCAGTTTTTAGTCTTTCATACATTGCTTTGTTATGAATATTTTTGTATGTATTTCCGAGTTGTCATTCTATTATTTGCTGTCATGGGCCACGTGCGTGTTTCTTTTTGTATTGTCGCTTTCCGCTGCCTGTAATTTTTGTAATTTTTGTAAATTTGTAGTTTAGATTTTTTCTGGGTGAAGGGGCCAGTCAAGCTGTGAAATGCAGCTTTTTTTCCCTTCGCACCAAACCACGTATACAGTGTATTTTCGTGTACTTGTCACGTGCTTGAATAAACTCAACTCAACTCAACTCAAAATAGCCCGCAATTGCCTAGGCTCCAAGCACTCTACTACATGCGCCTTTCTTCCTTTGTTTTTTCTTATGCGTTATGTTTAGTTGTTCTCTCACAATTTTCATGAGCATTGGGCGTGTTAACAAAGCGACAGCTCAGAGGCAGTGCGTTGCGCGTGATATAAAGAGAAAAAAGAAGCGAAAGGACCCTTGGGCGAACGCGCGGTGTAGCGAGAAGAAGAAGCACCCCGTCTACGTCTATGATTAAAACAAGAGTCTTACGCGTGATACAGAACACCGCAGCGCAAATTGGACAAGTGAAACAACCCACTTTCATTAAAACAGCTGACATTCGAAGTAGTTCAAGCTGAGCGTCTTCTTTTCCGGTAACCAGCCCAAACAAACGCGTAATAGACGAGAAAAATTGGAACGCACCAGCTGCGTAAAAACACAACCCGTTTACTGTCGGTGAGTATCCCACACGTTTCAGCGTAATTTCTATGGCATACGGCTTCAGCAAGCTTCACCGGCGCATTGCGAATCTAGCATCGATGCGTGCTGCCATCTCTCTTAAAAGAAATAAAAATAAAAAACACCGGAACCGCATTTAGACAACGTGACCGCTTTCATCCAACAGCAACGCCGCATTTCTTCCATACATCTCTTGGGATATGATACGGAAACACGCTACTGCGCTGCAGAAATTAGGTGCCTTCCTCGTGTTTCAACCACTACCACAACCACCACTGACTGCGCACCTCGGCAACTCCACGAAGTGAGTCCAATAACGTCGATTTACGTTCGAAAGGCTTGGAAACCCAGTTGTTCAAAATGGCGGTTATTGTAAAACATATTCTTGTTAATGCTACATGCGTTTTGTAATTTATATTAGCCGTTAAAAATGGTGAAAGTATGTTTTTGTAGGTTATGTCGATGGCCTATTGTTTGCTGCATACAGCACGAATATATTAATTCAAATGTGGTGTTTTTTTCAAGTAAAACAAGTGCAGGGCATGCCTTCGTGGATCTTGGAAACAATGACAATCTACAGCAATTATCGTAGTAATCTATACTCGGTTCGTGGAGTCATTTCGAAATTGTTTTTCTGGAGCCTGAAAGCATCGTGGTGCTTCTGTTGAGAGGCTCGTCCAATAGTGTTGATTACTAGTCAAGTTGTTCAAAAACCCCCGCAGGGGCGTCTGCGCAAGCAGGTGTTTGGTGTGCAGCGACACCACAGACCCGAGCTAATGGGGGGACTTCGACCCCCTCCCACGCCTAGCCATGCGTGGCTTTGCTGTGTCCGGGGAAAAGGGGATCCTGGGGGTTGATCCAATGCTGGGTGATTGGACCTGGAACGCCCCCAGCAGTGGCAACACACCCCTTTGGCCCTGGCTTCACGTAGACGGCACCCCCGGATTGACCCGCCCGGGGGGAATCGGCAGTCGCCTTTTCCTGTCTCCACCTCACATCTTCGTCTTTTCTTTTACTTTAAATCTTTCCAGTCCTCTACTCACTTCCATTGACTTCCGTGTTTCCTGGCGGCAAGGGTTAACACTGTGTGGCTATCCTACCTTGGATACACCATATTCGGTTATAGTGGTGACGTACAACTGGTGTCCGCAGGGCCTGTACTTACAGACCTTGCAGCGTCCCCTTGTAGGACTCCACCGTGGGTGGCTGGCGCCGCTGCTGAAAATTAAACATTTACATGGCTAGTTCCTGCCCTCCACTCCCTGATCGCCCTCAGAAAAGAGGGCGCATCGATGAAGTCTTCCAGTTTTTTGGTCACCAGAGAGTATTTTCCCCGCTTCCATGTTATCCACGCTGACACACCCGGCAAACCAGTGCGAACATTTTCCCCTTTTCTAGTTTCAAAGTCTTTGACGAAAATATTTGGCCCAGGATATAAAGCATCAAGAATGGCAAGTGGTGACCTCCTGTTGGAGCTCCGCGACCAGAAACAATATGAGAAACTGCCCAATCTAGTGAAATTCGGAGATACCAAATTAATAGTAACCCCACACTGAACCATGAACACCACCCGTGGCGTTGTTTCAGATGATGACCTGTTAGGGCTGAACTCCTGGAGGGTTCAAGCGAACAGAATGTCATCAAAGTGAAACAAATTAGGATGAGGCGTGATGGCAAAGAAGTCCAGACTAAGCACCTGATTTTTACTTTCAATTCAAGTGTACTGCCCGACTCCGTTGAGGCTGGTTACATCAAGCTTCGAGTGAGGCCATACACACCAAACCCTCTCCGATGTTTCAAATGCCAGCGGTTCGGCGACAGCTCACAGAACTGCCGAGGCCGCCTAACTTGCGTGAAATGCAGTGCTGAAGAACACACATCTGATGCCTGTGAAAACTCTCTTCACTGTGCGAACTGTAATGGGGAGCATGCCGCATACTCACGGTCATGTCCATGCTGAAAAAAAGAAAAGGAAATTGCCACAATTCAAGTAAAACAAAACATTTCATTTAGGGAGGCACGAAGACAGGTGTCCTACCTACCAGAAACCAGCTTTGCCGAAGTGGCGCGTCAGGGGCAGCACGACAACGGCCTCCGGCGGCTGTCTGGCACACACGTAGTGAACCAACGGTGACGCCATCCGCCCTCTCGGCGGTTGCAGCCAATGCTGCTCCGCCATCCGAGAAAGACACACCAATATCCGGGCTGGGGGCCGTGAAGGTCTCGTCTTTTGAGGCGAGGCCCGCAAAACAAGCGTAGCGCTTGCAAGAGCGCGTGTTTAGCGCCTAGCAAGAGGCAATGGACACAACACCGAGCGTGAGGGCGCAGCCAGCGCCTAAGGATCGGCGCGACTCCGTCGACCGATCCAAAAAGAAAAATCTCTTAGCTTACGGCCCCTGGAAAGGGTCCGTAAGCTAACTTTCCATCCTTGAGCACACAGCACAAAACACATCTAAAATGGACACACAGATCTTACAGTGGAATGTGAGAGGACTTCTCCATAACTTGATATTAGAGAACTTCTTAATAAACATACTTCAAAGGTGCTGTGTGTTCAGGAAACACATCTCAAGTCCACACAAACTAACTTTCTAAAGCAATATGCCATCTTCCGCTAAGACCGTGACGAGCTGCCGCTTTGTCGGGTGGTGTCGCTATAATAGTAAAGGCTCGTTAATTCGAATTCGTTGGTAACGCTGAGCAATTTCGAATTAAACAAAATTCGAAATGATGAAAGTGAGCAAAAATGGGTGGATTTTGGGGGTGGGGGCACGAAAAATATTTATTGGCCAAAAAAGTCGGTGATGACGATCTGCTTCTTTTCTCTGAATGCCACAGCTGTGGCTCCCTGTTCCAGCGCGCGGACGCGGCGCAGGGAATCCTCTTCACCCTCTTCAAAGCTGAAGAAGAGACACGCCATATTAAGTGCCTCCATCACCGAAGAAGCTGACGGGCGCACAGGCGCTTCGTCATTTTCGTCTTCCTCACCTTCTGGCTCTTCAGCATCAGGCTGCGCACCAGCTACTTGAGCGATAATGTCCTCATCAGTCAGGGCACCACACACCGATGCACCGGTGTCAACTTCAACATAATCGGCAAAACGTACGCCCCGAAGAGTGTCGCGCAATGCCGCTGGCATGAGCTCCTCAGCCCCATCCACGTCGACGTCACAACTATCCTGCGCACTTCCAGCTGCAAATCCACTGTGGCTGAAACAGTTTGCGATTGTGGTCGCGGTCACCTGTTCCCATGCGCGCACCAACATGTGCGTGGCAGTGAGCAGCGTAACGCCGAAGTGCTTCCTGTCGCCCGCGCACAAAATCATTCTCTCCAGCACGTGACGCCTATAAAAGCACTTAATGTTCCTTATCACACCCTGGTCTATTGGCTGTATGTAGGACCGCAGTCGTATTTGCCGGAAGGAACACCAACTTAGTTGCTCTCAGCTCAACGTCGACTTTGTGCGCCAAACAGTTGTCGACGACAAGAAGAACGCGTCTGCCGCCCAGTTCCATTCGCCTGTCGAATTTCAGTAGCCACTTCCTGAATAGGTCACCTGTCATCCAGGCTTTCTTGTTTGCGGCGTACTCCGTCGGCAGTGAGCGAATGTTTTTGAAGCACCGTGGCTTGAGTGCTTTGCCAATCACAAAAAAGGGGGACCTTTTCCGTACCGGTAATATTTGCGGCGTCCAGAACAGTGACACGCTCTTTGCTGCGCTTGCCGCCGGCACAGCTGTCTCTCTTGTAGGTGATCGTCTTGTCTGGCTGCAACTTGAAAAATAACGCTGTCTCGTCAGCGTTAAACACATCCTGTTGTGAGTAGCTCTCCAAGTACTGCAGCAGGGTGTCGCTTCTCCAAGTAGCGCATGTTTCGGCGTACACTTCCTTTGCCTCGCCGGATAACGTGCGGAATACGAGATTGTGCCGCTCCCTGAAAGGATGAAACCATCCCTCGGAGGCGACAAAGTCTTCAATGTCCAAGCGCAGGGCGAAATCGGCTGCCTTGGCCATGATGATAGGGCCACTCAATGCGATACTCTGGGCTCTCATTTCTTTAACCCAGATAATCAAAGCTGACTCCAGTTCCGGGAACTTCGCTGTCCTTAGCCTTTTACGACTGGCGCCAAAATCCTCGGCTTCATAGGCGTTTTCAATGGCCGTCCTGTTGCGTATGTAGGTTGACAACGTGCTCGAAGGTATGCCGTGCTTCCTCGCAATTTCGTATTTGCTCGAGTTCCCTTGGTCAACCTCTCGCAAAATCTCCACCTTCTCCTTGACAGTCTTTGCGCAGTAGTTTCCCCGCGGCATCTTGCAACTTCGATGCGGAATAAGACGGCTTGACGGCGTGAACGAACAACGTGCTCGAGGAACAAAGTGACGCTGCCGGGAGCGGCCTAGGGCTGCTAGGACTACTGCGCCGATTCCTCAGCGTCCCGTGTGTCCCGCGTACAAGTGGCGCCAGGCGCTGAGGTAGCGGGAGGGCTACGAAAAAAATTGCTCTCTAGATTTTGGAGGCCATACTTTGCTCGCCCTTCGCTCGGAGGCCACTTGAAGCTCGAAAAAACTGGTCGTGCCACCTATTGTTCGGCCATAAAAGCTTCCACTAGTGTTTGACAATGATGACGCTCGGCGGCGCGTGCTTCGAATTATCCGTAGAGGCAGCAATCTCTGTTCGAATTAACGAATCGTTTTACCCATGGTCTCCTATGCACTGCGGACCGGACTGCGGCGACCATTTCGAATTATCCAAAATTTCGAATTAATGAGGTGTGAAATAACGAGCTTTCACTTAGTTGATAAAGGTGTTGCTTGTAAGCAATTAAACCTCCGAACTTCTCTTGAGGCATTTGCTGTCCTAGCAGTGCTGTTCGGGAAGCTACTAACAATCACCTCTATTTACATTCCTCCGTGCTATCAACTTTCGAAGACAGAATTTCAAAGCTTCATTGATGAACTTCCTCCGCCATATATAGTCGTTGGTGATCTAAATGCACATAATCTCCTATGAGGCGACTCCGGTTTAGATGCACGAGGACGTCTAATAGAACACTTTCTGTTTTCGTCAGGTGCGTGTTTACTGAGCAAAAAAGAACCAACATGTTATAGTACTACACACAACACATATTCTTCCATACCCCTGTGTAGGACCGTGGTAAGAATTGGTAGCGCGGCAATTTTTGTGTGCTTTTATTTTCTTTGCGGTGTAAGCTTGGGAGGGCACGCCAGCCGCGGGCAGCCAGCGTTGCTTGAGTGACAAGCGGTCGAAGCGCGACCGACCGGTTTTGCCGCGAGCGCAGACACACGGCGCCAGCATATTACACTGCTTTGTTCAACACCAGAGACAGTCGAGCGTTTCCAGTTACTACTAACTCAAGGAAAAGGGAACCAACCAGGGCAACGAAAGGGGTGAGATTATAAACGTCGGTGTGACGGCCCCCTAATTGCCTCTCGGAACGGGCAGTCGGCGCATCAATGGGCCTCTTCCGAGACCCCGCGCGCCGCGGCGACTCCTCGCATCGGTTCGGCGTATGGCCTGGCCACGTACTGTTTGCGCGCCTGCAGAATCGGCGGCGCGCGTTGCCAAAACTCTGAAGTCACCGACGACCTTTTCTGCCGGTCCGGCTTTGGTCCAGTAACTCTCAGAAGCGGGCTCGCGACACTGGAAATGGTGACGGCCGCCCGTTCGACACCTGGGTTGCCTATTGTTGAATCGGGCATGTCTTCGACTGCGTCCCCGTTTATCTGGGCAAAGGAACTCGTAAGCAGAAACATGCGCGGTCAGCGAGCGGTTCCTCGTACGGCGCACAGAGGCAAGAGGATTATAGCCGCGTCATCAAGAAATTGACGTGGTCGAGGGAAATCGCCCTACGGCCGCAATACCGAGTACGGCTAGCTCGGTCTAGATAATTGTGCGCCGCGAAGCTGGCCCTGGCCTCTATGCTTTTTCTAGTTTTGTTTTATTTACGTTTTGGTTGTTGTGTTGTTTGGGGAGAGTGCATGAGTCCCACGTGCACGAAGGCGGGATCCTCGTGGCGTTTTTTCAATCTACCCAATGTACGGTCCAATCAAAGGACAAGCAGGTGATTATGTGCCGAGAGTGTGGTAAGGGCGGAGCGCCAGGAAGAGATAAGAAGAGGCCCCGTGGCTCCGCCAAGGGTTCTGAACCGAGCTTGCGGTGTTAGGCACCATCGGCTCCGCCGAACCCCGTAGGGTCGCCCTACAGAAGTCGGTTCATTTCCAAGTTGTTTTTCTTTTCTTTTTTTGTAACATTGATGTACATTGTTTTGTAAAATCTGTAAATACAAGTTTTTCTCAGCCATCTAAAACTTCTTCAGCGTTGCTTCTACTTCATCGTCAAGCGACCAGCAGGGCAATAGCCGCTATTGGGATAGCGGCGTACGTTTCTTCTCTCACTTTGCTATACCACCGCGGGTGGTGCGCCTCGGGCGCCGAGCGGGGAGAAGTGGTTTCTTCTACATCGAGAAGAGAGAACCTGATTATACTGGCGCAGTCGACATTATTGGCTTGCTGAGGACGGAGTGGAAGAAGGAAGAAGCTGGCTGAGAGGAAAGACGAAGTACAGATGAAGACGCAAATCGGCACCAGACCAACAGACAGACACTGCAGCAAGTAGCTGCGGTAGCTGGAAGCTGCAGATAGCCTGGTGTGCCTGGAAGACACTGAGGGAGTGACTGGGTCAAAGCGGTCCTCGAACGAGTTCTCGACACCAAAAAGGCGCGTCCACGACGAGGTGGGGCATCGACCAGAAGCCTGCAGCAGCAAGCCAGAGCGACGCCACGACAACGGGACCGAGCTAACGTGAGTTCCCTTTCTCATTGCTGTATTGTTGTTGCGGGGCAAACAGGCTAGCACCACATTCAGTAGGATGGAGGGTGGCGATGGGGCGAGTGAGGATGGGAGTGGTTACGTCCCTTGGACGGCACTAGACCAAGCAGATCATGATTTTAAGATGGCTTGGGAACGAAGCCGGCAAATTGAGTTGGAGTTAGAGCTCGCTAAATTACGTCCGGCAAGCCCATCAGGTAGCGTGAGTGATGCTGGCGGAACATTTGAGCGCTGCTCCAACACTGAGTGGCGCAAATACGCCAAATTGTTAGTGGGCGCTTTCCCAAAATTTCCCGCAGACGCGGAGGTCCCAATTTGGTTCGAGTCAGTGGAGCACACTCTGGAGGCATATGAGGTACCTCGAAGTTATTGGGGACAAATAGTCTTTCCACTCGTGGCTGAGTGCATAGAGTATTTATCAACTCGGCTCACACCCGCCCAACATCGGGACTATGAGACCGTAAAGGAAGTAGTGCTTGATGAACTGAAGCGGTCTCCCTTAGAATACCAAAGGAAATTCACAGGGGCACGTAAGCGAAAAACAGAGACGTGGAAAAGTTTTACAACAAGGTTGGGCAGCTACTTAAATTTTTATGTGGCTTCAAGAGACGTGTCCACCTTCGCGTAGCTTTTGGAACTACTGGTAGTGTACCAATTGAAAACCGTGTTGTCTGAAGAGGCATTAAAATACTTGAGGTTACGTGAGGGGGCAGCATGGTACAAAAGCACAGAAATTGCAAGGCTCTTGCACACCTTTGAAGACGCGAACGGCAGTGCGGAAGCGCAGAAAGGACAGCCGCGTAACGCCAGCAGTAAAGGGGTAGAAAAGACGACCGACCACCAGAGTAGCAGCCCATCGGGTCCGAGTCAGGGTTCGAACACGAGACCGAAGGGTTCGTATAATTCAAGTAGGCAACCAAGGAAAACGGGATGTTTTGAGTGTGGATCGAACACTCATATCAGACTCAACTGTCCGCACTATCTTGAAAGGGTGGCACCGAATCCTAGCGCTTCGGAGGGAAATGACAAACTCACTGCTCGAGTCTGCCTAGATAAGGTAACGCCTGCCGACCGCTTGTGGAAGGTAACTCTGAATTGCAAAGATAAAACTTTGAATGCAATAGTAGACACGGGCGCCGAGATTACGGTAGTGCAGGAAAGCGTGGTTCCTGATGAATTTATCCAGGCCCATGGCCGCGTAAGCCTCCGGGCAGCATTTGGTGAACGAGTCGAGGCCAAACTAGTAGAGCTCCCGCTAACGCTGAAACAGGGGCAATTGGTGTTCGCCGAAGTTTCACAGGCCACACCGGTCTTGTGTGCGGTCACAGATAAACTAAGCGTGAGTGAATGCCTGCTCTCGGCGAGCGATTGGACCGCGTTGCAACAGAGCCACTGTGAATACAACGAACAGGACACGACACTATGCCCCCAAAACTACTCCGACGAATGAGAGGCGGCCGCAAAGCTAGATGGGAGAGTAGTAGAGCAGAGTAGACCGACTCCGGATTATCCGCGGTCAGCGCAGGGAAGCGTACTACAGCCCAGCGAGGTCGAACGCGCCCGGGAGGAAGAGGTGGGCACAGCCGTGGAGGTAGAGGAGGGAGAATTAGGGCTGGTTCGGATGGAGACAGAACGAGAGCGTAACGCTAGAGAGAAAACACCACACACCGTCGAGAACGAGGCAAGTTGCGTGTCGCAAGGTGGCGCAAGTGGCGAGAGGGGCGATTTCGAGGCATTGCGTGAGGAACAAAAGAGTGACGAAACGTTGGGCCGGGCATGGAGAGACGCCGCGAAAGGGCGAGGTGGAATGCTGGTGATTGACGGGTTGCTGTATCACCGAGAACAGGTACTGGGTCAACCGATCAAGCAGTTAGTTTTGCCGACCACCCGGCGGGCTGATGTGCTCAGCCTGGCGCATGAGTCGTATTGGGGCGGACACCTGGGGTTTCGTAAGACGAAAGCGAGAATTAAACTTAGTTTTTTTTGGCCAGGTATAAAAAAGGACGTCCGAGACTACTGCAATTGTTGTCACGCGTGCCAGATCAGGGCTGACAGGAGGAAGACAGACAGAGTTCCCATAGCACCCATCATAAGGCCCCGATACCCCTTTCAGATAGTCAATATCGACGTCATAGGACCAATTGAGCCGCCGACAACTCGCGGCCACCGCTACGCGTTTTGCATGATAGATCTCTGCACCCGCTGGCCCGAGGTCATATGTCTCAAGTCATTGACAGCTAAAGCTACCTGCGACGCAATGTTGGAAATTTTCAGCCGCAGCGGGATACCAGAGGTAGTATGTTCAGATTGCGGGACCAATTTCACCGCCGCGCTGACCCGCGAATTCCTAACGCGCCTCGGCTGTTCCCCTCGGTTTTCGACACCGGACCACCCGGAAAGCAACGGAGCGGTCGAACGGTGGAACAGAGTATTAAAAAACATGCTATTTCATGTGATATCTG